TTTGGACGTGAAAGGCTTGTTCGTCTAAGCTTCCGGTTCTCTCTTTTGATTTTATATTGTAGTGGCTGTATTGCTTTTGTCTTCAGGAGTTCCCACAGAGGCCCAAGTCAGATCAGGGTCAGATGTTTTCAGGCTTTCTCCTAAGGTCTGAATCCCTCCAGGAATGATTTTGGGCTCAGGAATTTTGGGTTTGGACTGGCCTGGTTGCCTGGCCCAGGAAAGATGCTGGTCTAGGGCAGCTGGTGGCCATGCCACCCAGAGATGCAAAGGCAGATGGGGTGGGAAGAGGCCCCAAGGACTCCTGGGGACTGCACTGAGGAGCTGTGTTGGTCTGGATGCAAAGGATCAGGAGGAGTAAAGGTCAGCCCCCGTGGCCCAGAAAGAGGTTGGTGGGTGGTGCAGGCCCAGGGAAGCAGAGGGAGGTGAGGGCAGGGCCAGGCCCAGAAACAGTGTTCCTGGGTCCCAGAGAAGTCACTAAGTTGGTCTGGATGAAAAGGATCATGAAGCAGTATTGGTTCCCCAGTTGTCTGGGGCCCCAAGTCTAGGAATGGGATAGGACCCAAACTGGGAGAGACCAGCAGGGGAGATGGGAGGGTGAATGAGGCTGGGGGAGTCAAGGCTCAGAGGGCAGGATGGACTTACCCCGGAGAGAGGCCTGCGGGTAGGAGAGAGGCCTCCCATGGGTGGTGCAGGCCCAGGAAAGCTGAGGGAGGTGACAGTGGGGCCAGGCCCAGAAGCAGTGCTCCTGGGGCCCTGAGAAGGCACTAAGTTGGTCTGGATGAAAAGGATCAGGAAGCAGTATTGCTTCCCCAAGTGTCTGGGGCCCCAAGACAAGGAACGGGGCAGGACACAGACTAGGAGGAGAGACCTGCGGGGGAGATGGGAGGGTGAATGAGGCTGGGGGAGTTGAGGCACAGAGGCAAGATGGACTTACCCTGGAGAGACGCCTAAGGGTAGGACGGAGGCCTGCAGCAGGTGGATATTGTTTCTACTTTTTCTAAAAATAGATCTATTTATCATCATTCCTTGAAAAGCCAAAATATTGAAAAGTTCTTCTACTTCTAGAAGGCAGTTAAAGAACAGGGTAAAGTGTACTGACGACACTGCACTTGATTGTTTCCTGTCAAAAATATCCATCTAATAGAAAAAAAAACTCCATTAAAGTTATTTTTTAGTGATTCCCTAAAGTAATACCATGATAAAGGCTAATTTGAGATTTGGTTTTATTATACAGTCACTTTATCATTTTTAACCCTTATTTCATTTACACCGCCTTCCCGGGATCTGAACCCCAGTGAATGAGGGTGGTACGCTTGCTCTTCCCGACACTGGGCCAGTTTTGATTTCCCCTGTGCCCTCATCCTGGGTAAAGCCTGACTACCTCTTCCCCTTTCTGGTCATTCTTCAGACTCAGATTTAGCAAGTTGTACCACAGCTCACCTCAGTAGAAATCACTTCATGTCTTTTTGTTATCAAGTTAATCCTCTTTATGCAGCAGCTCTTTTTTCAGTTTGTATTTTCATAGCTCTTTCTTAGTTTCTCATATTAGATTTAAACATTTACAGGAAATTAGTTCCTCCATTAACCTATATTGCTTAATATAGTTCTAGGCATCAGCTGGAATTTCCTGACTGACCTCTTGCCTCTAATCTTACTTGGATAGATGACTTTCTTTTATTCTACAGTATACTGAGCAATAACTAACATCACCACATTTCCTTTCCATTTTTCAATCTTAACGTACAGGAAGCCTTGGCTCAGGCTTTTTGGATTGACATCAAGCGTGTGGATGACCCTGAGTGTTACTTTAATTCTCTACCGAAAGAATTAGAAGTAAAAAGAGATCGAATGGTCCATTTGCTTGAGAGTGTTGGCCTGAGACCCATTGTTCCTGACGGGGGTTACTTCATCATCGCCGATGTGTCTTCATTAGGTTTGTACAGGTTTCTGTGTTTCAAACATACTGAAATTGAGGCTGGAGAGCTGGCTCAGCAGTGAGGAGCACTACCTATTCTTGCAGAGGACCTGGCGTTTGATTCCTAACACCCAGATGACAGCTAACAACCATCTGTAACTCCAATTCCAGGGGATCCAACACCCTCTTCTGACATCTATGGGCTTTGCACAACACAGGTGCACTTACACACACACAGGTAATACACTCATACACACAAAATAAAAATAATAAATATTTTTTTAAAAACATACCAAAACTTATATATGAAATTATAGCAGAATTATGCAGAAAAGTTGAAGCCAGAGCCACATTTTATCTCCAGAAGGAAGATAGGATTTTGCCAGTTCGGTGTTTTCTACAATTATCTTTACTTCCAGGACTTTCACCTGAGTTGTGACTGCTGCTAAGGGTTATGGACTCAGTGTTCTCCAGCTCTTCTATTACATCTAGAACTTGCCATCATCCTGTTCCGATGGATAATTTTAAACCCTAAACATGAAATAGTACAACTATCCTGTGTTCACTTGAAATCTTTCAATTTTCTTTTTGCTTAACTAAAAAAGAAAAAATAAAGGTTATTTGGTAGGAAAACTTAAGTTTCTAGAAATTGTGAAACCATGAGGAAATATTTGCTATTTTCAAATATATTGAAATGTAAGCCGGGTGTGGTGGTGCATGCCTTTAATCCCAGCACCTGGGAGGCAGAGGCAGGTGGATCTCTGTGAGATCAAGGCCAGCCTGTTCTACATAATGAGTTCCAAGCCAAATGGATCTACAGAAAGACCCTATCTCAACACAAAAACAAACAAACAAAAAGATTCCTGAAAAATAATATTAATAAAATAAACCAACTGGGCATGGTGGCACATGCCTTTAATCCCAACACTTAGGAGGGAGGCAAAAGCAAGTAGATCTCTTGTGAGTCTAAGGCCATCCTGGTCTACATAGTGGGTTGAAGGCCAGCCAGAGCTACACTGTGAGACCCTGTCTCAAAACAAAACTTATAGCATTATTTATTGACAAATTATGGCCACTATAAATGTTTTGAAATTTGATAATAATAAAATCATAGGCCACTGAACTTGAAAAGTGAAAGTTGCCCATTTATACTAAATTTTAGAACCCTAGAAGGAATAAAATATATCTATTTGCTACAACAAAAGAGTGACTATACTTTGGCTTTTTTTTTTTTTTTTTTTTTTTTTTTTTTTTTTTTTAGACGACAGGGTCTCCCTGTAACCCCAGCAGGCCTGGAACTCACTATGTAGACTAGGCTGGCCTCAAGCTCACAGAGATCAGCCTGCCTCTACCTCCCAAGTACTGGGACTAAAGGTGTGCACCACCACACCCAGCTAGCTTTTTTTTTTTTAGCAGTGCATATGTAAATTTACTGAGGAAAACTAAGAGTGGGAGAGGTTTCTTTAGCTTTATAGTCTTCCTGTAGGAATCCTTTTGTGATACATAAACATTGGACATTAGTCATTTCTAGCAATTAAGTTTCATTATCACAGATTTCAGGGAAATGGAATATTAGGTTTTCCTGTAGCTGAGGCTTGAGGTCTGTCCAGGAAATGGCCGTAGCTCTGGCCCACCTTCATGAGGTTATAGGAGGTGATCATGGGTGCTTACAGGAATCTTTACCCTGGGGAACAGCATCCCTCTCACAGGAAGCTTGTTTAGATTGGTGTACACCCTTGCAGCAGTCATCTCACCTATGTTCAGTTTATTCCTGCCCACTACCCCTCTAGAAGAGAGAGCACTAACCAGGGGGCAAGTCAGATTTGGTTTGGTTGTACGGATTGGTTAAGACACAGCAAAGGCAGGACAACAAAGCATGTGACATGACAGAAGCAGCTCATTGCTTAGCAGCATCCAGAGAGAGGAGGGTGGCACTCCTGGCGCTCCTGATCCCTTCTAGGAACACCTGGGAGACAGAGGGTGAGGAACACAGAGAGAACAAAAATAAAGGGAACTCCTCTGGAGCTAAACTTCCCCAGACAGTACATGGTTTTATCACACTGTGATGGACAGGACTGCGGGTTGAATTGCTATACTAAGCACTATTTCCCTTGTTTCTTCAGTCTGTCCTGCCCCCACTACTAGCTCAGGTCTTAGATCTTGATGTAGTGTGCTTTAAATAGGAGCAGGAAGGATTCTAAATAGAAAACCTTTTCTGATGGAGATTGAAAGATTTCCCTTCTTTTTTAAAAAAATATTTTGTGTGTGTGTGTGTGTGTGTGTGTGTGTGTGTGTGTGTCTTTTCATCCACGTTAAAATTTTTTTTTTACATGGGACCCATACCTGGCACTGTTATCAAGGCCAAGAGCTTGTAGCTAGACAGGTCACAGACCTTAGGAAAGAATCTACCATTATTATCTTACTAAATGGGCATAGTTTTAAACCAGCCTCTAATCTTAACTGCTGAGCCATCTCTCCAGCCCCCAGATTTCCCTTCTTAATGATCCTCCTTCACCCATGGGGGAAAATATTAGCATCTTAAATTCTGCACATAAAATTTAATTTGCAATGTATAATTTTTTTCCTATACTAGAGTTTAGCTCTAGCCTTTTGCTAGAAATAAAAATGAAATTTTCATTTGATAATGGCTTGCCTCATTAGCACAATAGGTAGTGCATCAGTTTCATTTGATGGCAGCTTAAGAATAAAGGTAGCCAGGGACTGGAGAGATGGCTCAGTGGTTAAGTGCTTGGCAACTCACAACAGTCTGTAACTCCAGCTTTAGGGATCCAGTGTCCTCTCTGTCTTCCTTGGGTGCCACACACATGTACACAAACCCACACACAGACGCATGCATACACATAATTAAAAATAAAAATATGTATTTTTAAAATGTATGAATATAGGCAGGCATGTTGGTGCACACCTATAATCCCAGCACTCTGGAGGCTAAAGCAGGAAGATTACAGTAAGTTCAAGGTCAACTGTAACTACATACTGAGTTCCAGTTCAGCCTGGACTACAGTGTGAAATCCTATTCCAAAAATCATATAAAGAATAAGCCAGGCGTGGTGGCGCATGCCCTTAATTGCAGCTCTTGGGAGGCAGAGGCAGGCAGATCTCTGTGACTTCGAGGTCAGCCTGGTCTACATGGCAAGTTCCAGGCCAGCTGGGGCTACAGGGAGACTCTGTCTCAAAAGGAAAAAAAAAAAAAAAAAAGAAAGACAGAAAGAAAAAATAAGACATAATTATTATTTCCCCTTACAATGAAAGTAACACCTGGATAGTTAATATTTACTGAACATACCATGATAATAGTAGTTCTTATATTAAGAGCTTTACAAATATCACATCCTTAAGAAATCCAGATGATATTGGTGCTATCACATCCTCACTGATAGATGACAAAGACTGATAATCAAGTAATTTATAGCTGCCAATTAATTAATAAGTAGCAGATCAGGCTCCAAACCTAGAGATCCACAATATGCCTCTGTCAGCAATAAGTTGTAAATTCCATCCACTACTGCAGAGGCAGGCAGTTCTCTGAGTTTGAGGCCAACCTGGTCTACATAATAAGTTCCAGGCTAGCCAGGGCTATACAGTGAAACCCTGTCTCAACAAACAAAACTTTCATCCACTAATGTAGACATCAACATGACTTGGTTTGAGGCACTCTAAAATATCTAAAATTTGGGGCTGGAGAGATGGCATAGCAGTTAAAAGCACTGGCTCCTTTTGCAGATGACCAGGGTTTGGTTCCAGAACTCACATGGTGGCTAACAACCATCTGTAACTCAAATCTGTGGGATCCAATGCCCTCTTCTGACCTCCGTGGGTATGCACAACATGGGTGCACATACATACATACAGGCAATACACTCATACACAGAACATAAAAACAAATAAAAATATTTTTTCAAAGATCTGAAAGTACCAGTCAATAAACTTAACAATATTAAATATAGTTTGCTGAAATTGAATACCAAAGAAATATCTCACTCAGACTTTGGAGTAAGATTGATGGGATTGAAAAGAGGAATGCATCCAGGAAGCTGTTTCTCCCACGGCTTCTTTGTGTGTGTGTGTGTGTGTGTGTGTGTGTGTGTGCGCGTGTGTGTATGTGTGTGTGTGCAGTATACATGTGTTTTGTGTGTGTGCGTGTGTGTGTGTGTGTGTGTCTGCATCTTTGTATGTCATATGTGTGGTGCCTGAGGCAGGCAGAAGAGGGCATCAGATTCCCTGGAGCTGGAGTTACAGGCTTTTGGGAGCCATCTGACATGGGTGCTGGGAACTGAATTCCAGTCCCCTGAAGGAACAGCAAGCACTCAACAGTTGAGCCATCTCTTCAGCCCCTCAGATGTAATTCGCAAGGCATCCATTTTCCTCTGTTCTTAGATGCCGACCTCTCTGATATGAAGAGTGATGAACCTTATGACTATAAGTTTGTGAAATGGATGACGAAAAATAAGGTAATGTTTATTAACCCTTTGCACTACTGTCTTGTATTTTCTGGTTAACTTACCAAGAAAACTTATGGATAGGCTCTGAAACACATTTGATTCTAGCTTTCTTAAATAATATTTTACTTTCTGAGGGATTTTTTAAGGTATTTTTTTCTTTTAAAAATTACTCCAACTGCCTATCGTATCTACTTCTAATGCCTATGGCCACATAATTAATATCTGGAACATAGTTATATAACCTTTTCCTGTTGTATCATCTTATTTGTCTTGTAGAAACTGTCAGCCATCCCCGTTTCAGCATTCTGTGACACAGAGTCTAAGTCACAATTTGAGAAGTTTGTACGGTTTTGCTTCATTAAAGTAAGTTTCCTGTTTCATGCAAAAATACATTTATAGTATCCTTTCATCCAACTTATAAGTACTTTTTTCTATTTCTAAAAATGTACTAACATGCATTTAAATTTTTTGGTTTTTTTTTTTTTTTTTGGTATTTGTTGTGATGTTTCATCTCTAATTATGTTAATTTGGACTAGGCAAGTACTGAGCTATATCCCCAACCCTAATATGCATTTTTTTATTTGGCTTAGTGCCATGAAATTAACTATGAACCAGAACTCATTTCTTCTGTTTGTTGTTTGGTTTATTTATTTATTTTGTAGCCTGGATGACCTGGAACCCACTGTATAGTCCAGGTTGGCCTCAAATTCCTAGCAATCCTCCTGCCTCAGCCTTCCAGGTGTTGGGATTGTAAGTGTGAGTCATCAGCCTAACTTCAGCCTTTTCTGAAGGAAAATGACATAATGTACACAATAGATAGGAATGCTTAGCACACATAAGAATTTTCTAGACATGAAAACACAAGAAAGTGTGACCCACAATTTTTTTTTTTAGGTATTCAGTAGAAATATACCTAAAGGTGACCCCAGTGTAAGAATTAGCAGACAGGGGCTTTAAGGAAGATATTATAAGTATGTTCAAGAAATTAATAGGAAATATGGTCATAATGAGTTATCAAAATTCAGAACTAAAAACAAGAATCAACCAGAAAGTCAAGAACTTAGTTTGGTATCTGATAGGAAACATCCATGGGGCTCAGCAGAGCATTGAGGACATCATAGGAAAGCAAGCCAATGTGCATACATACCCAGAGAAATTCCCCAATCTGAAAAAGGATAGAAATTATTTTTTTAAATGAAAACAGGCAGGTGTGGTGGCTCATACCTATAATTCCAGTACTCACAAGATTGAGGCAGGATGACTGCCGTGAGTTGGAGGTTTACCTGGGCTACAAAGGGAGGTCCTGTCTCAGAAAGAACAGAAAAGAGGCCAGTGAGGTGGCTCACTGGGAAAAGGTGCCTATCACCAAGTCTAGCAACCTGAATTCAATCCTTGGACCTACATGTTCTGACCTCTGACCTCTAGCTACACCATGGCAATGCATGCATACACAAACATACATACACAAAAATTATAAATATAATAAAATTTTATAAAGAAAAAGAGCCTCAGACATATGAGACAAAATAACTGATAATATATGTGCCATTGGAGTACCAAAAAAAGTATGACAGAATATGTATTTTAAGAAATCATGGACAGAGGCTCAGCAGTTAAGAACACCAGTTGTTCTTGCATAAGACCTGGGTTCGAATCCCAGCACCCACATGGCAGCTAACAACTGTCCATAACTCCAGTTCCAAGGGATCCGACAGCCTCTTCTGTCCTCCATGGGCATTGCATGGCACAGGTGCACTTACTTATATGCAGGCAATATATGCATACACATAAAACAAAAATAATAAATAAAATATTTTTTAAAAAAGAAAGAAAGAAATCATGGACAAGGGCTAGAGAGATGACTCGGGTTAAGAGCACTGTTTGCTCTTGCAGAGTACCCATGTTCAATTCCTCGTACCCACATGGTGGCTAACAACTGTCTGTAACTCCAATTCTAGGAGACTCCAACTCGCTCTTCTGACCTCCTTGGGCACTGCACGACATGGGTGCACTTACATGCATGCAGGCAATACACTCATACACATAAAATAAAAATAATAAATAAAATATTTAAAAAAAAGAATGAAAATGAAGAACGGCCCTGACTAAGGAACACTGAGAGAACCCATCCCTGTTAGACCTGTACTGGGAGATTCTGAATGTATTATCACTGTTTTTGAAATGTTATTGCTAGACTGGGGAGATGGCTCAGTGGATACAGCACTTGCCATGGAAGAGTAAGGACAGGCCTTTGGATCCTCAGAACCCATGTAAAAGCCAGGAGGGCATGCAATCCCAGGACTTGGGAGGCAGAGATGAGATCTCTAGGCCAAGCTGGCTAGAGAGACTAGTTATAGCTGGCGAGCTCTGGTTTCAGCAAGAGACCCTGCCTCAATATATAAATGTGAAGAACAAATGAAGAAGACATCCAATGTCAACTTCAGGCCTCCATAGGTGTACATGCACACAGACATGCAAACATGCATACACATATGCACATAACATACACAAATAAATAAGCATAAATAAATGTTTTGCTACTGAAAGCGGTCTGACTGAAAGCAAAGCACTTTCTATGCTAACTCATTCTTCCATAGTCTAGTGAGAATAATGTAAATATATATAATATATAATGTAAAAATACAGTTTTCGAGATAAACTATGGAAGACCTACTCAGAGTAGAATATAAATAGTCACATGGAAAAATGTAAATATTCAGGTGACCAAGATGTAGAGGAAAAGGTAAGCTTATGAATACAGTATCACATTACAATGATTCTAAAAATGGAAGTACAGGTACTTTTCTACTTACAGTGGAGTTACATTCAGGTAAACCTGGCTGAAACCACAGTATGTTGAAAATGCATTTCACACATCTAAACTGATGATCAACACAGCATAGCAATATGGCAATCTGGAGTATCAGTCATTTTAAAGCAGTAAACACAGCCCTACCCTTTTCTCTTCTTGGAAATTACTCAAGAGAGTTGTAAAATGATTTCACAAGTTATCTAGTATCTAAGGAAGAGTTGCCAAGGGCAGTAGGAAAGACAGAAGATACCTAGAAAAGATCCTGTTTCTACATCTTCAAATAACAGACGAAGCCAGCATGTAGCAGGTTGGTAGCAAGAACAGTAGGGGTGGTAGGTGCCCTGGCAGTAGGAAGAAACAGGGCAGATGTGCGCATGCCATCATGGCTGTAAAGCAGGGTAAAAAGAGTCTAGGGTAAACTGCGTATTTCCTCATTCACCTCTAAGTCAATGTTGCCAATGCTGAGGATCGTGTTAAGTTAAGCCATTAATTCCCAGTTGGCCAAATGCTGTATTCAAGTTGTATTAAATTTTATAATGACTGAGGAGAATCTTTGCTGTCTTCTAGCATGGCCCCAGGTCCTCCTTGACAAATAACAGCAAATCCATCTTCAAATCATAAAGCCAGCAGACAACATACTCAGTACCCCAAACCACAGGAATGACTACGGAGGAGCTCGCAGTTTCATCCAAAATGATTCATAATCATAAAGGAAGTAGCTCTGCATCTTTACAGGATACTATCAGGAATGAGAAAGGTAGATAAAAACAGCTGTCACAATACTCACAGGAAAAGGAAAAAAAACAGAGCAAACAGAAGTGTGACATTTGGAATTCTAAACATTTAGACAATAGGTTAAAGTGGAGATTTTTAAAGTTCAGGAAAATGAGGATAAGATAATGTAAAAAGATGAAATGGGATCGATCAGAGTCCAGGCAAGAAATTGTAAATAAAGCTGTTGGAAATGATAACCGCAGAAACACTCCACAGGACACTAGATGTTACTACTAACACAGTAGGATTGAGAAAATAAGTAAATGGATGTGGAAAGGAACACAGAATTTTCCAGTATTAGAAAGAAAAATTATGAAAATGGAAGAAAAGTGAAATACACAGAGTTCCTGAAAATAAAATAGAGTTGAACCTCAAAGGAATCTTGCAGCTTTCTTTTCAGAAGTATTTCCATTTTTAAGAAAAAAGAAGAGATACAAGCCTAAAAATTAAGAGATTAAAATGCCTTGGGCTGAGGCTTAGAGGGTAAAAACTCTAAGCAAGCCTGATGATCTGAGTTCCATCCCCAGAACCCACATAAAAGCACAATGACAGAATTGGGCCAGGTGTGGTGGTGGACCCAACACTAAGTGTTATCCCAACACTTAGGAGACAGGCGGATCTCTGAGTTTCAGATCAGCTAGGGCTACACTGTGAGACCTTGATCAAAAATGAAGTTATCACAGATAAACCATTATTCTATGTAGCCCTTAGCACATATCCCAATTTCACCAACTGTCTCAACAATGCCCAGAACTATCTGTTGTATTTAGCTGTCATCTCTATCAGGCTAGAATGGGTCCTCACATTCATGACCTTGATATTGTAAAACTTACTAGCCAATTACTTTGAGGAGAGCGACTCTGTTGTTTCAGTATGGTTCTTCCCCATGATTCAATCTGAGCAATTCACTTTGGCAGGAAACCACGGAAGTTGCTTATACACTTCAGTGTTTTTCTGTTACTGGTGATGTTAACTTTAAGCACTTAAGGTCACTGGTGTTTGACTGACTTTCCTACTAACAGATTACAGTTTCCTATTTTAAAATATTATTTTGAACCAAGTGCTTTGAAATAGCTCATCAATGAAAAACATTCATTTTACCTATAAATTAGTAACAGTGAAAACTCATAGATTTCTTTATTTGTGGATAATTTATCATAATTGCTACTTATTTATATTTAAATTTCCCCAGATTTTGTCCATCAGGAGGCCCTTTACATTGGCTTCTGCTTCCTTTGATGTGTCCATCCTGAGGGGACACTTTATTTTCTACACAAGACCTACTATTCTGGATCATCTTGTCATTATCTATCCCAATCTAAAGCCAACTAGTTTCAATGAATCTTGGTTCCTCTTGGAGCAGAGTGGTGCCTACAAAGCAAAATCTAGACATTAAAAGTGTCCCTGCTACTGGTAGCACTGTTCCTAAGCCCTCCTGGTAGGCAGAGGTAGAGACTATGTGAATGCACTTGTCTAGCCACACATGTATGTCAGTCACACCTCTGTACCCATATAAATGGTGCATTATTTGCCTATAGCTTATATACATCCTTCTGTGTATTTTAAGCTATCTCTCTGTTATTTATAATAGAATACAATGTGACACCATGAAAATAGCTGTTATAGTGTATTGTCTGATAAATCATGTCAAGAAAAGAAATCTGTGTGTGCTCAGTACAGACAGTTTCTTTTCTCACATATTCTCAGTCAGCAGTCGGTTGAGATGCAGAACCACCGAGTTGACAGAGCCAAATAGATGCTTATTTTCAGCTATATTTATTTTTATCCAAATTTATTGAGAATTAACAGATTACATCATAATTTTTTTCCACGTCTGTGTTTGAAACTCTGTTCCTCAAGGAAGAAGCCTGATTCCTATTACATAATTACTTAATACCTCTATATGTGATCAATCTCTGGCCACACAGTCTGTCTCTCTCTCTCTCTCTCTCTCTCTCTCTCTCTCTCACAAACACACACACACACACACACACACTAAATGTCTTAGTAGTTGACCCTACCCCACTCAGACTTTGACATTTTGAACCAAGCATCTGCCACTGCCCACATGTGATCACTACACCCATACAACTGCTTCAGCATCCCACGAGGACCTGTTCTGCCACTCTCCCTCAGAGATGCCCTCGTCTAGGTCCCCATACCTCACACCAGGCAGCCTCTGGAGTCACTATTGTGCTCTGACACCTCATAGCAGGTCCCTACCTCACCCTGTTCAGTGCCAGTACCTTGCACGGGCCTCTATACCACACAGATAGATGCCTCATTAACTTGTACTCTGACCCTGTTTTGTGTCAGAACCATTATTGCTGCCGTCAGCATCTGTTGTCACACACAGACCGCCCTGGCTACACCATCCTGCACTAGGCAGCTCAGGTCCAGCCTCCACATGTAGATATCCTATTCTCTCAGCCCCAGCAGCTGACTTTCTTAGATAATCACTGTAGTAGAAAGGGCACAGAAAAGCAGGGCATGGAGGCACACACCTTTAATCTCAGCAATGGGGAGGCAGAGGGAGGCAGATCTCTGTGAGTTCAAGGCCAGCCTGGTCTACATAGTGAGTTCCAAGCCAGCTGGGGCTATAGGGAGACCCCGTCTCAAAGAGAAAAAAAAAAAAAAAAATTTCCAGAATAGTGCTTAGAATGAACTAAATTTCCCTTGCTTAAAGCAAACTATAGTGAATACTGTGTGACATTCACAGATAAGGAAATAGCAAATTCAGCATATGATTTGGATTTTAATGGAAGCTGTTAGAACGAAACCTAGAAATTTCCAGAAGAGGTTGTTTTATAAAATGAAAGGATTATAGGAAAAAGCAGGGACAGGTAGAGCAAATGGCTGTTATTGTTCAATACTGGGTCCTCTGAACATTGGCTTGTTTTTCTGATTATAATTATTTTGAATAACTGTTTTCACCTTTCGATTTTTGCATCTGAATTTTTACTTGGAAATTTTTTCTTCACTTAAGATTAGATACATAAATCTTCAGTTAACGTATTATGATTTATATCTTTTATATTTGAATATGACTGTGTCTTGAATTTATATTGGTCTGTGACGATGCAGTTATTGATTTCCAGAAAGATAGCACACTGGATGCTGCTGCAGAAATCATCAGGGCATGGAACAGCCAGAAGTCTTGAAGTGTGCAGAATGTTTCCACCAGATGACCTGACGGGGGAGGGGGGGGGATGCTGTTCAGTGCTGCCACCTACTGGATGCTGAAAAGCAGGTGTTTCAGGACAAATACACCTAAATAAATATTTCCATTGTCTTTCCAAAGCTAACCCCATTCCTAACACTATTCAGTGGCTTCTGATTTTATTCATTTGGAGTGCATTAAAACACCTTCCCTTATCATTTTGGGAGAATCAACATAGCATACCAGATAAGAACTATGAGGTGCTTAACTTCTGTGTTGTAGTTTCCTCGTTATAAAAGGGAAATGGAAATTGCACCTACCTCACCAGGTGTGGTGGCACATGCCTGCAATCCCCGTGCTTGGGATGTGGAGGCAGGAGTTCAAGGTCATCCATCATGATATAGTGAGTTGGAGGCCAGCTTGGGCTGCATGAGACTCTGTCTCAGAAAATAAACAAAACAAAAATAACACATACTTCATATGAAGCTTGTTTGTGAGGATTAATGGCCCAATCTGTAATGGCCTGGCAATCTATAAACTTCTCCATCGTGTTAAACACTAACCAGTCACCCCCCTCCGGGCTGCATCTTTGCCCTGTCTAGGCATCTATAGTTCCCTTGCAGGGCATTGAACTTTGCTTATGGTTTTGCTTCTTTGTTCTAAGTACTGCTGTCATTTGGAGTGGCTTCAAGGTCCACATGGACAACCTGGGTTTGCATCCCTTGACCTCTTCACCTCTGGTGATAGTCACTTCTACTCCACCTGAGCCACCTACTTCCTTGGCCACACCCTGGGGCTGTCATCACTAAGGCTGTTTCGATTTTGAGATAATAAATCCACCATCTCACACTATAACCACTCCAGCTCATGCTGTTGTGAATGTCTGTGCTCTCTCTCTGTCTCTCCCTCTCCCTCCCTCCCTCCATCTCTTTCGTTCTCTTCCTTCTTTTCAGTTCCTCTTCTCTAAGTTTGCTGCAATTTCAAATCCACTGTTTCTCAAAAAATGGTCCACAGCTCTCTCACATCAGAATCAACTAAGAGTCCTTCTGAAAAAAAGAGGTTCTGATCTTCACCTGAGACCCACTAAGCAATTTCAGGGTCTGTCCCTTCCAGGAAGATTATTACACAGATTATAGATTAATCATGTCTTCTATAGTTCACAGGACCCTTGGTCTGGTTCCTGTTAGACTTCAGAGCTTTGCTCCCTTCCTCGCCTACCTTAAGTTTCACTGTTGGGTCACTTCAGTCAGGACACTTTGAATCACTCCCCGCTGTTCTAATTCACCTACCTGGCCTAACAAGAGAATTCCACCCTGAGACTGAAGCTTTCTCTGCACCTGGACTGCTGAGCATAGTAGAAGCAAATTGCACAACCAGGCATGTTCTAGCAGCTATGAGTTACACAGCCTTAACCTTTAATAGACATAATTTGTGTTCCCCCGGTGAGTATTTTCTACCTGTCACCACAGCAGCAATTCCTAACATTCTCTACAATAAGAAAAAAGTTCAGTCTCTTCTTCCCATGTCACAGCCCACCACCAGCATTACAGCTGAGTCATAACAGAGTCTTCTGCTTCCCTGAAAAACAAAAGAAAACCAGAAACTGCTGCAATGTGCCTGGTGAAGCATGCTGCCTTTCTTCATCCCTTAACCAGACAGGTTGGAAGTAATAACAGACTAGAGAAGACTATTGGTCAAAAACTGCTGGGCCCAACTCTCAAAGGAGAAGCTCACAGTCAGGAATGTGGCTCAGTGGTACAGTGCTTGCCTAGCATGCACAAGGCCCCATGCCTGAGTCCCAGCATGGCCAGAAAATAAGGGTCAGAATCCCAGGAGCCAACTGTTGCATAGCAATATGAGTCCCATGAAAAAAATTCTCTCCTGTCCACCTGTTATAGTTTGTTTCCCCATTGTTGTGACAAAATACTCTGACCAATACCAACTTGGGTAGGAAAAGGTTTATTTGGCGTATATCTCCCAGGTCACTGAGGGAACCTCTCTTGGTTTGTTTCTTCATTGCTGTGACAAAACACTCTGACCACTACCAACTTGGGGAGGAAAGGGTTTATTTGTCTTACATCTCCCAGGTCACAGTTCATCTGGGAGCCCAAGGTAGGAACTCAGGGCAGGAACCTGGAAGCAGGAGCTGGAGCACAGGCCATGGAGGAATGCTGCTTACTGGCTTGCTCCCCTGGCCCCTGCTCAGCCTGCTTTCTCGGGCAACACAGGCCCACCTGCCCAGGGGCGATACCACCCACAGTGGGCTGGGCCCTCCCACATCACTCATCAAGAAGATGCCC